TTACCCAGCTGAAAAAGCCTAATGTGCTCAGCATACAACATAGTCAAGTACCTTTCGCATCAAGGGTTGGACTTTACTGCTTAATGATCGCATTAAAATGCTTGTCGGCAGCTCAAATAAGCCCGAACTTGACCTTGGTGTGCAGTTTTAACATTCTGGCACTCAGAGGTTTAGAGGATACATTTCCTCTCAAACAGCATTGAGGAAATTGTTCAAAGGTGTGAGTCTGTTCTACGTCACGGTGAACCATAACCATGTTTTTAATTACAAATGATCAGATGAGGACAATACAGGTGCAATTCCAAGACTCCAAGCTCTTTAACACGGTGTTTAACAAAAAACTGTAGCGATAGCTTGTGCTGGTATTAGCTGATAGCTAATATTCAAATATATTAGCTGTCATTTGTTGTGTCATTTGTTGCTTTATTTAAAGAAAAATGTTGTTCAGATTTTTTTTTTTTTTTATATACAGTATCGTTACAATAGTTCTTCAGAGCTGATATCAAACAATAAGACAGGGTTTAGGTTATAAATTAGGGTTGAAGCTCCTTTGCATAGCACAAAAGTGGAGAATCAGCTGTGGCCTCGCTTTGCACGTCTGCCTCATATGTACTCTGACTGGGTGTGATGTGGGAAAAGGAAAGCAGTAAAGAGCCAGGAGAGGGAGAGCGAGTGACCTTCTGTTGCAGGTTTTTCTTCCTGACAGCAGTCGTTGTCGGGGCTACATTAAATTTTTGGTCTCCACTGGTTTTATTAAGTCACACAGTCACAGTGTGTGTGTGGGACTGTGCAAGAGAGAGTTTGTGTGTTTGTGTTTGTGCATACTCAACTTTTCAAAGATTTCCAGCAAGGCAGTTTATTTTGCATCTAAACTGGATTAATGCAACGAAAGAGCATCGCCGGACGAACTCTTCCTGAACACTGATGACTCATGTCTCCCACTGTGATGTTATCCGTTGGTTTACAAAGTTAGCTTCAATTGAGCAAATTTCCCATCTCAAAGGAAAAACATAGCCTGGGTTACTGTCCAAAAAGAACATGGTGTTGTGTAAAGTTTTAAAAAACTAATGACTCAGACCTCATTCTCCTATGAAGGTGGTGCACAGCTGGCTGCACTCAGCGATCCTTCAGCCCTCAGTATAAAAGCTGGAGGAGAGGAGAGAGCTCTGGCAGTTTAAAGGTGGCTCGCCCTAGAGAAACATGTGTGCCAACCTTGTGAGCTGTTAGTAACAGTCACCTCCTGCCAGCACTTTAGCTTTTTGCTGTTCCACCCCCTCATGGCCTGGCTCTTTTTGGGGAGGATGGAACAGCTGTTTCTCACAGATACCTGGTGCAGTTTTAGTTTCAAAATTCTTGGTTCAAATAGGAATTTTTGGAAGCAGTGACACAGATTCTGCCTGATTCGCAGTAACAAAAAAAGCGTCAAAAGCAAATATTTGAACTGGACCTTTTGTATTTTTAGATTTTTTGTGGTCATTACAATAACTGTTCTGCGAGGTCTGTCAGTCTGCACTCAGAGAAAGTAACTTACTGTGTTTTAGGGTACAAGGCTTGTCACCAGCACAGTATCCTTTGAGGGAGTGGTGTCCAAACTCAGGCCTCGAGGGCCGGTGTCCTGCAGGTTTTAGAGGTGTCCTTGATCCATCACAACTAATTTAAATGTCATTGGGGGGTCATAGACAGACAGAGAGCTGGATTGCATTTGTATGGAGGTGTGGTCTCACTCCTGAAATTCAGATAAATTATCTCCAAAAAATATGGCCTTAGTTTCAAGGTCTGAATAGTGACATCATTATTGTAACACTGCATTTGTTTTTGGTAACTAGGGAGCAAAACCTGAAGACTTCTGATCTCACATATCTGTGTGAAAATGGCCCCAACCTCGATAAACACCCCTCAACACCCCGTCATTCATTTCCGGTCAAACTGAATAAAACACTGAAGTTCATTAACTGTATTCTAAGTGTCAGAAAGAAAGATTGCCCAGGATGTACTCATTGACTTGATATGTGAACATGAGGATTCACAGGTAGCCAATGCAGTTATAAGTTTGCTGCTATTAAATATGTTTCATTGCTATGAAAACATGTCAGGCAAAACTGCAATATGATGGGAATTTTTAAGACCACCTTTTTAACCACTCTCTGCTTCCAGCCTATATAAAAGGTCGTTGATATATAGTTATACGAATGTAAGTATGGCAGGACTTTGCTAAAACAATAAAGTGGATGATGTCTTCTTCATTTAAAACTCTACTACTGTATATGTAGCTTGACTCATACTGAGGCCTTTAAATCATGAATTATGGAGCCTTATGTCAAGAAAACACTACCCACACAAACATTCCACCCACTCCAGTCACAGTGCAACAGCAGAAATGGAAAGTTCACATATTTTGAGCAGTTTTGCTTGAAAACAGCTGTTTTCTATACCGTAACCTAGATGTCCTAAGACATTCCCATTTAATCCAAATTGGCCCGGATTAAATAAAGACATCTAAGAATGGCAACACACGCTAACAGGCTGAAAGAGTAGTCGGAGCTGGTTTTCCTTCTGTGCATTCTCCTCGTTGTTAACCTTTTAACATTACCTCCAAATGAATGGAAACATTTTTCTCCAGCAGAACGGCAGTGAAATCATTGTTGTTGCTTGTGGTCGGCGCAGGAATGAGCTGTTTTGTCTGCAGGTCGCAGCTGTGGATATATCCTAAAATTAACAGTATAGAATTCCAAAGGAGAGCACGGCCACTAGGCACTGTTATAGGATGGACAAACTTCTTTCCTAAACTTTGTCATGATTGCTTTGTGGAGCAAACAGTGAGCGAGTAACCATAAATTAAGTGGTGCTTTTTATGATCATTGGTAGGTCGCAGAGCCCTCCAGCTATGTGTGTTCTGCTTGTTTATGTGCGTTCAGCCTTTTTAGGAGCCGTTAAACAATCTGCTGATGAGGAAGATGGGGTGGGGCGGGAGAGATGAAGACAGATGTCAATGGCTGCACAGGTGAGTTGGTGCCAAAGACAAAGGATGTCACAACACAAAATGAGGTTTCCAGGTCAGGACGGGTGATTGGATTAAAGCAATAAACGAGAAGTGACTGATCCTGATATGCTGTTAAATTATTATCGGTTTTTATTCTATCCCATCTCACTGTAGGACATCAAACAGACACTAATATCTTTTCAGGCAGGCTTCCGGTGCTGTTAAAAAAGCCTCTGCCTTAAACATACCAGTACTGAGCCCACATTAAAAATAGTATTTTTATTGTTATCACAGGATAGTTTTCTATTCTTTTTTTCCTTTAACTGTGAAGGCATGTGGGTTTCTATGAGCTGTGTTTCTGTTTGCACTCCACTGTGTGTATCATGTGTTTCACTAAGTGAGAAGCTTAAAAAAAATTTCAGTTGACAAATTAGATCCGAGATTCCAGGATCGTCTGTTGGTGTCGTATGACAGTATGGTCCAGCCCTGCAATAACTGCATGGATTCGTCCAACTTTATTGCTTAGAATTCTTTGTTGACAGTTATATTACATTTGTCTTTATTGCAATTTGATAATGTCAATTAAAGCTGCAAGCAGCGATTAAAGGGCCCTTGCACCTTGGTGCATGCAAACATGGGTGTGTTGCAGTCGAGGCATTTCCTGCATTCGTGTGGATGTTTTACACCCTGGATTCTGACTGACAGCAGCACAAACTAGTTCCTTATCAATTCCTGTGCGCACTATCTGGCATTCAGGAACCACTAATCATGTGTGTCATTGATGGAACGCACAATAAGAAATTAAAATACATGAGATTGTGTTTATTGCCAAACGTTGTTTTTCTTTTGCCTCCCAGTGGTGATACAACTGTGGCACCTAGATGTCTCCAATCTGAGGTTTCTATCAAAAATGTTCAGTCTGTCCTAAACTTGACAATCTACCTTTGAGTTATGAGATGATTTGTCAAATGATAGAAATACAACTTGCTGGCAAGAACATGCTTCAACAAAACCACAGCTCATATTCATCTGATTAAATCTGTGGGTGGAGTTTGTGTCCTGGGTTTGTGGGTTTGTGCCTGAAAACACAGCAAAACTGTCCTGGGTGTTGATTCAAACCCAGGACTTTCACAGCCTTTCTGTGGGGAGTTCGCATGTTCTTCCTTTGCTTCCTCACACGGATCAAAGACATGCCTCTTAGATGTAGACCCTAAATTCTGTTACAGCCCGAGGCCTTTCGTGTGTGTGTGTGTGTGTGTGTGTGTGTGTGTGTGTGTGTGTGTGTG